GCTCTCTGGGTTGTGAAAACGCTCACGGTGCCAAGTGCTGACCTAAGAGAACTCGGATCTCCATCAGCCGCCTTGGCTCCAGGGAGTTACTGAACACCAGATGGTAGCAGGAGTTAAGGAAATTCAGAAAATATTCTGAGCAGAGGATTAAGGTTAAAAGCTTCGCAAGAACTGAAAATCTCAAGAAAATAGGGAGAACAACTGTTAAGGTTTGAACTAGTTTTCCTGTCCAAGTGACGCATGCCCCTGAACACTTCAGGGTAGTCACGTTTCCGACCGTGTTTCTGAAGCTGTCATTATTATGGAATTCTTCATTTACCTTGGGCAGAAACCACTACCTGTGAAATTAATATTACAGACTTTTCAGACACAGCTCAAAGGCACAACTCTTGCATATTAAGCTACGCTTGCACTGTGAGACACAACCAAAGACAATACCTGGCACAAAGAAGATGAAAGAAACCCCAGTCATGGCATTTTGCAGTAGATTACAGGTGCCAGCAGCAAGGAAGGGACAGCAACACAAGCTTTGACAGTCTCTTCAGCAGAGCAAGGACAGCACTGCACTGCCACAAACGGAAAACTTCTTAGGGTGCAGGTGAATAGCAGCGCGCAAGCCCTCGCTGCATCCACGCCAGCAGCACCCGCACAGAAGGGACAAAGTCAGTGCAAGATGCAAGGGAAAAGGTTGTAGCACTGATCCTAAACACAGATTTGTGGACACATGAAAGCGCATGGAGTGGAAGTCCATGGAAACAAAGGGTGGAAGTCTTGTACCAGTGAAGAGGGAAAGTCCCTGTAACTTGGATTACAACGACTTCCAGTTCTCGTCTCACTGAGTGGATGTTGGGTAGGTGGGGAACAACAGATATACTCAGGACTCACAGATGCTTGTGTTCAACTGCTGACAGGAACTCACATGAAGGAAGGGGCTTCCAAAGAACTGCCTTACTCCTCCCAGTGGCCAAGTAGGAAGGCTCTTGCATTCACGTGCAAATCTGACCTGTCTAAATACACAGGTGTCTTAAACCAGCTCTGCAAGTAGCAACACAGGTGACTAAACTGAGGCCAAGGTCTCCCATTTTCAGAGAGGTGAAGACTTCTAGAACAACCACTCAGCAGAAGATGAAACAAGATATTAAGGATTTGAGCTGGCTTTCTTCTTTAAACCTTGTTGTGAGGAGAGCATGAAAATTTGCACACTGACTACAGATGTCAGCCTTACACTTCACTCTTCTCAAATTCCTTATACTGTTCGTCCAAACCGACTAGTTCCAGGTTTCTAAGCTTGTTTTTACTGGGTTTAAAAATATTTTCAAAACTAGTTTGGGGCAGTAAATAATCTTGCTGTTATGGAAAGAAAAATCAGAACAATCAGATTACTCATTTAGTGAGGGATTACTCAGTGCAAGAAAGTGGGAGAATCAAGGTCCTAAAATGAAACTTGCTAGGACCGAGATACAAATATTGATGCACTTTTATGTATGTAAGCTACCTGGTTGAAAATGTAATTATTTCTTTAGGCTCAGGAATCTATATCCTGCAAAGTGCTGCACTCTACAGCATGGCCCACCAAAACACTTAAGGATATGAGTAAGTTTCATCGTATGAGCAGTTCTAGCAGAGTAAATGGGATGCAGGAGTGGACGTACTCAGACCACGTATCCTTTTACCAGTTCCTCATTTGACAGCTCGCAATGATTGAGGTGAGCAGGGAGGTTCCTAGACCCCAAGGAGCAGAGGAGGCAGGCAGCCCGCGTGGTACCAGCAGCTCCTGGGAGAGCGGCTGACATCACTTGGGGGTGGTGCCGGGAGCAACCGCAGGGGATTTAAATTCTTAAGTGTATTCAAAACCACCATACATGACTACACGGCCTTGCAATCCCCATGAAAGATCATTAAATACTTGCACTTTCGTCAGACTCCGAAGGCCACAGACGTGCCCCGTTGGTGAACTGGAAGGTGCCAGGCTTCCTGTCCCTTAGGGTTGTCCCTCTGCATTGTGGGGTCTTCGGGACAACAGAGCTTCCACAGCAGCACTTTAAGGGACTGTGGCGAAAGCCTTGCTAATGCCAAGGTGAATGACATCCATGGCTCTCCTCTCATCCGGTGCTGCTCATCCCATCAGAACAGGCAGACGCTACCTCACCTTTCCTCAGTCATCAGGACCAACCCCTAGTTGCGGCTGCTGCTCAAAGGTGATGGACAGCAGCCTACCAGTGAGGTCAGCCCGCCCACCCAGCACCCACCAGTACAGGTCAGAGCTTCACCGTCCCACCATCAGCATCGCCATCACCGTACTCTTTCGCGGCTTTATGAGAAGCAACGTGTGCGCGAGACGTTAGTTCAGCGCAAGAAAATGTGAAATGTGGGTGTTTGGGGGGGTTTGTTTTGCTTTTTTATTGTTGGGGTTTGGGGTTTATTTAAGAGTGTGATACAACTTGCATATTGTGTGGCATAGAAATACCCTTTTTTATGACAGTGGTACCCTAAAATTCAAAGATAAAATAATGTGATCATTATGCATGTGATCTACATTTTGCCTTTGTCTCTGTAAACAAGATGATGACCCATTTTGAATTTTAGGCTGTATCTTAAGAATGGCATGAAGTATTTTGGATAAAACCCCCTCTATTTTGGAAACACTTGTTTTAGACCTACAGATGTACGAGGGAGATGTTTTAAAGCAAACCTTCCCCGAAAACTAGCCAGTTATAACAGCATCAATCAAGCCGTGAGGACTTGAGAAAAAACGAGGAACGCGGGTAACAATTGACACAAAACTAACACAGCGATGCCACCCCGTGGCTACCACGTGAAACTGCTACTGGAAAGGTAGGCTGAATGGTTTGTTTTCTCTGTCGGATTACAGAGGGAGCTTCAGAGCAAGTTTAAAAGCTAGAGCATGCAGAACAGCTCAAGAGCAGACGTGGTGATCCGGTGCTGATTTTGACACCGCTGTGCGGGTTATCAAGTGCACATCTGGCCTCACTACCTAAACAGTTCTTGTCAGGGAAAAAGAAACAGAAAGACAACAGAACAGGGGATCAGGATTTCAACTACTGCATGAGTAAAACTGTGTAAGAAAAGACGATAAATCCTAAAGTTTAAAGTAAACGCTACAACCACAAATGTAGAAGCAATAGCAACCTCTGCAAAAGGTAATACAGCATCTATCACTAGGTTTTAATCAAAATCACAATCATGAGAACCGAAAACTTGTAATAAGAGTATAAGCTACAGTCACTTGATTCCAGCTGAGGCTTTTCCTAAAGGAAAACAGAAAATAACAATAGCCCAGAATAGCAGATACCATTAAAGGGGTTATTACAATAGTAGCAAGTTCTAAATGCAATCTATAAAAAGTATAGTACTTCAGTGCCCTTAGAAATAAAGTATTTATCAAAAGAAAATGATAGAAGAGTTATACTAATAACTGTGATAGTCATTAAAATATTCTGCAGCGCCTGGTCACGTTCACACTATTGCAATTTTCTTAACGTAAAGTAGAAAGTGAGATTTAGAGTAATGTTCTTTCAAGCTTTCTATCCACAAGCAGTGTTGGCTTAAATTACATAGCCCCTATTTATTTTTTAAAGAAGCATTAACACTTTTTGAAACCTCTTGGCTACTTTTAATAGGTTAACCGATTTGCTTCAATGTGAACAAAACAACATTCAAAGCTTCGCTACCTTCCCCTATGGTTCAGTACCAAAAAGCCCTAGAGAGAGTGGAAGAAACAGGAAAGGGCAAGGGCTTTCAGTTTCCTCAGACAGAAAGGGGTAGAGTGGAGAGGGAGAGGTAAAAAAAGTTACTCCACGCAAAGCATACAAATCACAGATGAGAAGACGGGGAAGCATGAGCAATGGACTTTGCTTTGGGAGTTCAGGCCAGATAATTTCAGAAACAGCATTAGCTGTAAGTGCCATAAGAACTGTTTTATTTCTCAAATCTTTCCATTTTTATTACAGTCTGAAATCAGCCACTAAAGTGAGTAATTTTCCTGAGGTAAAGGTCACTGTAGTCTTATCTTTCATATGGATGGTTTGCAAGGTGACAGTCGTGGTATGTTTTTACAAAAAAAAAAAAAAAAAGACAAAAGTAGTAAAAGAAAATTACTTTGAGGGGCTTTCCAGCAGTACTTAGTGAGTGTCTTGCTCCTACAGCACCAACAATACCAAGCAAACTGGTCTCTGCGGCGATATGAAAGCAAAAAGAGGAACGAGCTGGTTAGTGGAGAGGCACACGAGTGCTGACCACGTTTTAGAACACTTTAGGAGCTATTTTTTGAGTGGGTATGCAAGACAATATGGAGTTTACCGTGTAACTAATCAACTGATACAAATAAGCTGCTTTCCAAGACAGACCTTGCAGAGTGTACAGGAAAATCAGTCTTTGACACAGCTACAGAGAAAAGCTTTTTTGCTCAAAGCCAGGTGTACCATTGTTTTACCACAGTTATCATGCAAATAACATCTAAAACCATTCAGACTGCCAGCAATCATAAGATGTTTATGAGTTTATAAAAAAATAACCGGAAATCAGCAAATCCTCTATTTGAAAAAGCTCTCAGGTCCCACTGCTTTTCCTAGTTAGCTCACAAGCAAAAGCTTACACTCACCTGAAGCACACAAGGAGCCGTTCTGGTACCACAACAGGTGTCCTGACATGAGCATCATGTGGAGAGACACTGAACAGTTATTCTGAATTTTGTATCACATATACAAATAAGCAACACCAGGTAACAGCAGAGAGCGGCCCCTTCCAGACAGGCATATTTCAACAAGAGACAAAGCAGAAAGTTGACTCAAAATGATCTGGAAATCCTCAAAATATAAATGTTTATTTAGCTACAATATTAAAAAGTACAATATAAAGTTATAAAACATAGAAATTCCATAATTAATTCACATGCTAAAAAGGAGTAATTGACCAGCTGTAAGGAGGAAACTTCATGAAATATCCAGATGTCTTAACTATAAAGGCTATTCCATGGAGTTTCAGACTTGAAATATCGAACAACCACTGCAGAGAACTTGCTCTCCCACATCACCATAACTAGGGAGAAAAGAAAAAAAAAAAAAGAAAACAAGAAGAAACAAAGTCAGCGCATCTAGCGTTTCCGATAGAAACCGGAGTCTGTGTTACAGAACTTAACAAAGAATGCCATTCTATTCCATGATCGGCCATAACTACAGGATTCCCACACAACACACTCAGTATTTCTTTATATCACAGAACTGTTAACAATGACAGCAAAAACTAAGATTACTCCTTGAGGATGTATTCATTCATCATTGGCCAGCTTTGCTGGTGGGAAAGCAAGAGGAATTTTTTGCCTTTGGAACATTTAAACAAGAAGTTAAACCAGACTTGCACTAAGACTGATCAGACTGCTTCACACTGGCATTTTATTTTCCATGTTTCAGACAGTTTTATCACTGCTAAGGCAACATAAGAGAGAAATTCCAAGTCCTTTACATGGATGAGCTAGATACCTTGTAAGGTCTTCATGTGCTACAGCCAATTTTCAGGACGTGTAGAATTAAAATAAGCTTAAAAATTCAAAAGGCACTTACTCAAGAGTGGAGCACAAAGAACAGGTAACTGTGTTACAGCAGCTGCAGAGCCTGCTGCAGTTCTGGCAGATGAACTGGTCGCACTGTGTACACGCTTCCTTGACATCAGCAGTTCTTACACATGACGAACAGGCTTTGGAAACTCCCACGGGTGGAACTGCTTAGAAAAGATGCAATTAAGAAGAGATGAAGTTCACAGCAAGGCAGAAAAAGCACCTGGGAGTGCCCGAGTGTGCCTGCAGCATTACGGCTACAGGTGGTGGCGCTTGGCACTTGCTGGCACCCACTGCCTATAGCTTTGTTGGTTCATTCGCTGCTCAGTGGCAACACCACTAAGATTCCCAACCAGATCATACGTGCAACGGTTTCTAAACCCCTCAGTGAAGCTCAAATCTCACACTTCCTTTAAAAAAATGAAGAAAATAAAGCACTGCGGAAGGACACGCTCCCCTCCACCGCGCACCAGGAAGCCCCGGAGGAGCGAGCAGCCGGGCCGCGCGCTCGGCCGGCGGCGGAGCTGCTCACCCTTCCCCGTGGCGGC